CTCCAGCACCAGCACTGCAGCATCATCATACTCTCCGACGGGCTGGGTTTATCTTTGGGGCGGAGGACTGCTTGAAGTTCTACTTCCGCTTCATGAGCCTTCATCTGAAGATACATACCATCATCATCCTCTTATGTATTTCAAATCTTCATACATACATTTCTGAGGACAGCTCAATAAGGAATCACTCCCTTGCTTCATACCAAGGTTTGTATCTACGCTAGCAATCATCCAATTCTTACACAACAAAAAAACAAGCAAGGAATCGGATGATTGCTCATAATCATTCAAGAGAACTTCTACTCAGCTACCAGAACATCAAATCTGGAAGGGTTGTTATAGGATTCTTTTGTCAGCAGCTGTTATTGGTTTGAAGCCTTAATCAGAATAAGTGATCTATTTAAAGCGCATAATTTGAATCCTCATCTGATACATCAAAGCCAAACCACCTCCCTTCAGTTTACTTCTTCTTTTCTTTGGTGTAGAGCTTGATCTTCTTGAAAACAAAAAAATAGAGCTTTTTGAAAACAAAAGACAAATCTGATTTCAGACGGGGGCCCAGAAGCCAATTACCATTTTGTAGTGTTGACATGCAGCAAATTATTTAGTTGCAATCAACAGATCATTGGGACTTGTAAACCCATCCATCATTTTTGAATGTTTAGTCCAGAGTTCCTTGACCAGATCATTCCAGATCCATCCATCCATCAAAAACAAAAAAATGCTATCAGGAACTTACAAAAAGATGTTATTATGAATAGTACTGGAAATGAATGGGAAGATGAAATAATAAAGGCATTATTTCTCAAGATTATTGATTTAGATGAAGAATAACCTAGGGTAACTCACTCAAAGTTACCCTATATTCTAACTCCTTCATGTAGTAAATCTACATTAAACAATTAGAGTGTACCTCCAGGAATGAAATGAAATATGCTTATGTTTATAATTAAATATGCTGATAAACAGGTTTAAGACTTGAAACTTATTTGTTGTTTCAAACATACATTTGTATATTGATATCACGTGTGTGGCACATTTCCAAGGAAATAGCCACATGTTTCAGCTTTAATCTTCTACAGAACACCTGTGGCACATTTCCAAGGAGATGGTCACATGTTTCAGCCCCCATGCATGAAGCGCCCACAAGTTGACCCTGATCTCCCAGATGCCTCCA